TATATATATATATATATATATAGGCTCTCATAACTTCATAAGCAAAGTTTAAAATATATATATATATATATACAGGGATCTATCAAATAAGCTTATTTGAGAGACACATTTGCGGAGCTTACTCCGCATTGTATTTCACTAATCCAAATCGTTTATTTTGTAAATATTCATTCAAAGATCATCTCTACAAAAAAATCACTTGAATCCGATATCATTTGACTATTCTCATTTGACTATTTAATTAAATTATTGAATTTAAGTATTTTCTTGAAGCACCGTGTTCATTGATTTTGTTGGTCTCAATTAGATGCTTTAATGATTTTCAATTTGTCTGAGTTTTTGCAAGGATGATCTATAAATAAAGACTTGAAAAATAGACGGTTTGGATCGTTGAAAAAAAATTTGTAACGTACCCTAAAAGGTGTCCCTCAAATAAAATTATTCCCTCAAATAATTATTTGAGGGACACCCTTATAGGGCCCACTTCGTATTGTATTTCACTAATCCAAACCATATATTTTATAGATATTCATTCAAAGATCATCTTCACAAAAAATCACTTGAATCCAATATCAGTTGACCACTCAATTAAATTATTGAAATTTTAGTACTTTCTTAAAGCACCATGTTCATTGATTTTGTATGACACAATTAGATGTCGAAACGGTTTCCGATTTGTCTAATGTTTTTCAAGGATGATGTATAAATGTTAACTTAAAAAATAGATAGTTCAGATCGCTGAAAAAAAAAATCGTAGGGGACCCTAAAGGGTGTCCCTCAAATAAAATTAATTGAGGGATCCCTCAATAGAAGAAGACTATATATATATATATATATTTTTTTTTTTTAAACTTTGCTTACGAAATATTCTCTAAAGAGAGTTTGAATGGTGAAAAGTGTTTTTACTTTTTTTTTATTGGTACGACAACAAAGTTGATAAGTAAGTAAATCTTTGGTTAAAGGGAAATCATAATTTCTTTTTTCAAAAAAAAATTATTATAAGTTTTTATGACTTTTGATTAACCGTAACAAATGTTTTTTAGAAACGAGGTTTCTTGTTATAAATAAAATGTAGAAAATAGAAGAAATTCTAAATGCGAACTTTTTCTTAAAACAAAATGATTATTTAAATATCTATTTTAAATTAATAAAATTAATTAAAAATTTTATTTTTTATACAAGTAATATTGAGGAGGGAGAATTGAACCTATGACCTTGAGTGCAGGGGTAAATGCTTTTACCCACTTGAGTTACAAATTCATTGCTCTTATTAATTTTATATTTGAATTACATATAGAAAAATTATAAGAGATAGGACCATTTACTTAATAATTAGAGTTTGGCCTTAATAATTGACTGAAATAATTATTTTATACATTTATTTTTGAAATTCATATAATTATTTTATTTTGAATTTCAAGTTTCAAACAAAGAGCCAAAAAGAACCCTAACAGAGAAAAGTTTCAGCTGCCGCCCTACTTGGGGTTGATGGCCCCCTTCCCTCCCCTCCCCTCCCCTCCCCTCCCACCTCTGCTCCCTGTCCATCCATTCAAGGCCCTCTGTTTTGGCTAAGTTTTGGTGCTCGCTTGACTATCTTGGTGACGACGTGGTAGCAAATCAGCTCTTATTTACGTAATTTGTATTGCAGTTTTTTTTTTTTGTTTTGTAAAAATCAATTCATTTTCAGTTTGTTGTGTGTTTGTAGTCTCTACTTGTATTTTCTACTTGTGAGTGTTAAAAGGTTGCATTTGCAGTTGTAATTTGATGCACTGAGGTATATATTTGATTTTTTTGAAGGCTTTTTTGCCAAAATTTCTTAGGCCATGTGTGCCTATGAATGGATGTACACCTTGTGGGTTTGCCATTGCCCTGTGAACTTCTCCGTATTATTTGGATTAACTCTTTGTAGTTACTATGTTTCCATATTTATACTAACCTTGAATAAGGTCTATATAGTTCATGGGGGCATTGCTAAAATTTTCTCTTTATTTTAATGTTAACTTGTATTATCCACGAGTTTGTATTGGCAACTTTTGTGCCCAATATATTAAGGGAGCTAATTTTCCCACTCCACTTTTGTCCACTTACATTTCCTTTTGTTGGAAATTGTATGTTCCCATCCCACACTTCTTTTGTCCACTTACACTCCCTTGTATGTTATAGTAAAAAGTATTAAAAAAATAAAAAAAGTGTAAGTGGATAAAAGGAAGGTGGAAAAATAAGCACCCTATATTAAAGGAGTGTATTAACTTTTTTTAAATTTTTTGTTAGTAGTGTACGTCGTGTGTGAGAGATATATATGTGGACGTGATATCTTTGATAATGAAGGCATGAAATTTCCTTCACTCAGGGCCCTTGAGTCCAATCCAATAATTCATGATGGGAACAATAAATCTACCAAAAGAAGTTAAACTAGATCATGGTGGTAGAAATATCTCGAATATTATGTATACTGCCAAGAGAACAGATGTAATGTAGATCTAGATTTGCTATAAAGTTTAGTCCTATTTAAAGTAAGCTTAATTTGTAAGCCAAATTTAGATAAATCAAATTTTAGCCCAAAGTTTCTCTCTCTGTTTTCTCTTTCCTTTTTCTTATTTTCTTTCTCCTTCTTCTTTAATCCCTTCGCCCCTTTTCTTCTTTCTTTTCTCTCCCCTTTCTCTCTCTTTTTTTTTTTTCTTCTCTCTCTTTTCTTGTTCTTCTTCTTTCTCCCCGCCATTTTTCTTTTATCTTTCTTTCCTTTTGTCTTCTCTATTTGTTTCTCTTTTATTTTATTAAGTCTCTGTTTCTCTCTTCTTCTTTTTCCATGCGTTTCTCTGTTTACACATTGATGGTGGTTTTATGTTTGAAAGATGTTATGAGCTGATGTTGAACAGGTGGTTTGACCAGCTTGAGCTTGTGGGTGTTTTGGTGTAGGACCCGACTGTAGTTCGAATCACATAGGTGTCCAAAAGAAAATTTAGCCCACCCCTGTAAAAAATCCTAGATCTGCCATTGCACACTTAGTACCCTAAGAGCTAAGAATTAAGATAGAAAAGAGAGAGAAATAGAAATGGATGGCGTTGGAGTAGAAGTTAGCAAGAGGCCTCATGCTGTGTGTCTCCCATTCCCAGCTCAAGGTCACATAGGCCCAATGATGAAGTTAGCAAAGCTCCTACATCACAGAGGTTTTCACATAACCTTTGTCAACAGTGAGTACAACCACAAACGCTTGCTCAAATCCCGAGGCCCCTCCGCCCTCCACATCTCCCAGGACTTCTGTTTCGAAGCCATCCCCGATGGTCTGCCTCCTACGGACGCTGACACTACGCAAGACATCCCGTCTCTTTGTGACTCCACAAGCAAGACTTGCTTAGGACCATTTCGCAACCTGCTTGCTAACCTTAGTCTTGACAAGGCCCTCCCACCGGTGACTTGTATTGTCTCCGATGGTGTCATGTCATTCACCGTCAAAGCCGGTGAAGATCTTGGAATTCCGGTGGCGCTGTTCTGGACTACAAGTGCATGTGGCTTCATGGCCTACACGCAGTATCGCCAACTTATTGACAAAGGTCTTACACCACTCAGAGGTACATGTTATGTTACATGAAAAATAAAGGGCACGCATACAGTAAAATTGAAATTTTGTGATATTATTATTTGTATTGGTTGTTATATGAAACGCAATTAAATTAATCGATTTGGCTTACACTCTCCAAATTCAACTTACTTTACCTGCAACTCTTCACTTTTTGTTCCTATAAATAATACCCAATTTTTATAAGTAAAAACCCATGACTAGGATCCAACTTATCAAGCTACCTTATTAAGCTCATATCTAATTTATTATAATTTTTTTATTGCCAAAATACCCTTATTTATATTTCAACATGTAATGGGGTGGTGTTTTAATTTTTGGTTCCCCAATTTATTGTAGTGATTCCCTCTAAAATTTTTGTGTGCAATTAATTATCCGTTTTATTATTAAAATTCATTAATACAGCCAACAATTTGTTGGCCGAAAAAGGTAGTTTTCCTTATTGCCTTTTTGAAATTTTGTTCCATCTTTCCCAGATAATAATCTACCTATTTTTTATATTATAAATTATTGTGTATCTATATTTTCTATAAATTATTGTGTACCTATTTTTCTATCAATTTTTTTGGTAACTAATATACCTATATTTTTATACATTTATATTTATATGGCTTTTTATCACAAATGGTTCTTGACGTTTACGAAATTATCACGAATGGTCCTTGAGGTTTTTTTGTGACACTAATAGTCTTTAACGTTTGGGTTTTTTTTATCACAAATGGTCCCTGCCATTAAAAATTTTGTTAAGTATCTGATGTGGAAGGTAAGTGGAGCCCACATGTCCAATCACATCATAACATGTGGATTAAATAAATAAAGAAATATTTTTTTGATGAAAATCCATTAAAAACATTTAGCCTCTCTCTCTCTCTCTCTCTACCCTCTCTCCTCCCTGTGCTTTCCCTCTCCCTCTGTTTTTTTCTTGCCTCTACAACCCGACCACCCCATGCCCACCCTATATACAACTATATATATACAAAGATGGCTCTGGTAGGGAAAGCATAGGCCACGGCTAAAGAACTTCTTGATTCAATTTTAGATGTTGTTGTTCGGATTTGATATGAGTTACTTTCTGATTGTTAATGTGTTCTTATTTCTAGTTTTAGTTTTTATTTATGTATATGAAGTAAAGCCTATAGTTTTAACGTTGAAACTAAATTCCCTTGCATAATTCTTCAAAGAGAGAACCATGCTGTTGTCGGGGAGCTTTTGGAATCAAAGTCTTGTGTTCAAATGGACATGAGCACACCAAAATCAATGCCAACAGATGTAAATTGGAATCCACAGGGAGGAGAGAGAGAGAGAGAGAGAGAGAGAGAGAGAGAGGCTAAATGTTTTTTAATGGATTTTCATCAAAAAAATATTTCTTTATTTATTTAATCTACATGTCATGATGTGATTGAACATGTGGGCTCCACTTATCTTCCACATCACACTTAACAGAATTTCTAACGGCAGGGACCAATTGTGATAAAAAGCTCAAACGTTAAGGACTATTAGTGTCACAAAAAAACCTCAAGGACCATTCATGATAATTTCGTAAACGTCAAGGACCATTTGTGATAAAAAGCCTATTTATATTTATATTTTTCATATATAGGTACATTATTGGATATGTAATTTAATGTTTTTTTTTTTGGTTTGCAATTTTAGAGGCGATATGCTAGAGGGAATGACAACCAAAAGAAATGGGGTGATTGATATGCTATTAACAGGGAGTATTAATTACAATTATGGTAGTTAATGAAATGCTTGAAATAAATTATAAATAAAATATGAAGTCTAGTGGCAACGATGTAAAAAAATAGGAATACTATGACCTCTTATATCCTACTGGTCATATAAATTTGAAATTGGGTTTTGCATATAGATTTATAGAGTGATGGGTATATGTCTAGGAAATTGAAAATGTAGGGATTTATATTGGACAAGCCCTAGGAACTGGCAAACTATTATATTCATCGTTCACCCTCCTTTATTTATTATTTATTTTTCATCTCATTTATCTATGCAATTTTCATTCACAGAAGCCTTATGAAAATGAGATTGAAAACTTTAAAACATATAAGATAGGAATTACAGTGAATGATGAGTATTGGAGTACCAAATAATTACCTCCTATGGGGAGGTCCGGACGTTATTACCGTGCGGATGCTATGTATTTTCTACTACTCCTCCCTATTTTTCTCCTTGTTTACAATGTCTTCCTCAAGGTAATAACATACGGATCCAAATGAGAGAACTATACATATATATATTGCTTTTACTGTTTTATTGTTAAATTGGGGAGTGATATGGTTCTGATCTAACAAATTATGTGATGCTCTGAAGCCCACGTGGGTAATTTGTTGGGAAAGATGGGCATTACAATATGTACAAATATTAAGCCTATTAAGCCTATAAGAAAGAATTCTTATATCTTTGTTATTTAATCTGGGATATAGAAATGGTAAGCAGCAATGACAAATTCTATGTATGCCTTTTCAGGTGAGGCTTCTTTAACAAACGGGTATTTGGACACCACGATAGACTGGATTCCAGGAATGAAGGATATTCGTCTGAGAGATCTCCCAAGCTTTGTACGTACCACAGATCCAGAAGACATGATGCTAAGCTTCGTCATGGGGGAGGTAGAAAGAGCTTCCAAAGCTTCTGCTATCATCTTAAACACTTACGACACATTGGAATATGAAGTGTTGGAGGCTCTTTCTTCAATGTTTCCTCCAATTTACACCATTGGCCCCAATCACTTGCTTGTGAACAAGATTGTTCCTCAGAACACTATATTGTCATCGATTGGTTCCAGCCTTTGGAAAGAAGAGCCTGAGTGCCTACAATGGCTGGATTCCAAGGAACCCAACTCGGTGGTTTATGTTAATTTTGGGAGCATTACTGTTATGACACCCCTACAGCTTGTTGAGTTTGCTTGGGGTCTTGCTAATAGCAAAAAGCCCTTTTTGTGGACAATTAGGCCTGACCTTGTGAAGGGTGACGCTGCTATTCTCCCATCGGAATTTGCCCAAGAAACGAAACAAAGAGGTATGTTGGTCAGTTGGGCACCACAAGAGGAAGTTCTGAACCACCCTTCTATAGGAGGATTCTTGACACACAGTGGCTGGAACTCCACCATTGAGAGCTTGAGTGCTGGAGTGCCAATGGTTATATGGCCGTTTTTCGCGGACCAGCAGACGAACTGTTGGTTCTCGTGCACTCAGTGGGGAGTTGGCTTGGAGATTGATAGCAATGTGAAGAGGAGTGAAGTGGAGAAGCTTGTGAGAGAATTAATGTCGGGTGAGAAAGGGAAAGAGATGAGAAAGAACGCCATGGAGTGGAAGGGAAAGGCAGAGGAAGCTACTGGTCCAAGGGGTTCTTCATTACTGAATTTGGAGAAGTTGGTTAAAGATGTACAGCTGCAGCCATCAAAACCCAAGTAGCTAGAGAGATAATCAACCCTGGTCCAGGGGCTTTGAACTTTGCAATTTGTTTTATAGAAAAGTAGTCGCAAGTATTGCCATCAATAATCTTCGATGACCATATGTTATATGTCTGAACCAATACATGGCTTGAGCCCACTTTTCCCGATATTTTAAGCAGTTTGCTACAATAATAATTGTTTTGGCATTCTTCCTTGTTTAGTGTATCGAAAGATCAAAAGGCATCTCTCAAAACAAAACAAAAAACAAATGAAGTAACGAATTATTTTTGTCCCACAATGAAAGTTCACAGTTTTGCAAAAGTCTTTAACAAAACATGCTCGAGATGGTTTTCTCTAACAGAAAGTGCTTGAAAAGCACTCAAGCGGGTTTTCTCTAACGAAAAGTACTCGAGCTGATTTTATCTGAGAGTTGGGCCCGAAAAATAATTTAATTATTTCTTTGTTTTTGCACGGTAGAACATGTTTAATTATCGTTTCAGTTTGAATTTAAATTAGAACAGGTTTCTAACTGTTGTGTTTGAAGCCGCAAACAGTATTATATATACCCAATATCCAACCGTCAAAAAAGTAACTTATTTTTCAACGAACAAATAAAACTTCATATTTTTCTTACATTCTGTTTGGAGAAGAAGCAAATTTAAGTTCACCAGAGATCAAGGATTCGGTGCTGGAATCTTGATTTATAGATAGTTGAATTCTGGGAGATAGACATCCATTGAACTTCAAGACTGAGAATGGGCGAAATTCTATCTTTAGGACATTACCAATATGCAAGCCTCTTTCATAAAATAAAGAAATTGACTTTATTTGGACTACACTTATGTTCAAGCTGTTCGTAATCTGACTTGACTTGGCTCTATGACTGCGTTCCTCACAGACAGACAAATCCCATATAATTTTACTTTCAAAATAGAGGGTATACAGAAAACGATCATACGACTCTATGTATCTCGAGGCTTTGGACATTACCAAAGGGCCCTTCCCTCTTGAGTGGTGGTGGGAAAGATGCTCATTACAAATGTACAAAATATTAACCCTATAAGAAAGAATTCTTATAGCTTCGTTATTTAATTGGGTGAAAATACATGTAGGATGTCTATATATGCCTGGAGGAGGTTAATGGGCCAATTTAAGATTATAATCAAATAAATAAAAATAAACTTCGGTAGCAGGATTGATATGGCTTATCAATCCTGAAACGTGTTGGGCATAAAATAAAAGAACACACAGAGAATTATTTTACGTGGTAAAACCCCACCTCTGGGGAAAATCCACGGGACTCCTCAGTCCAATACAAATCCACTATAGAACGATGATTACAAGAAGTACTCACACACTTATCCTAGACACATTCTAGATAATGTTTACCGACTTCTTCGTAACTCAAGTTCTGTCACGGGATGATCTTCGACACTCCTTATGTTGAACGCAATACTGGTCACGATTGCTTCAAGCTCACCGGAGGATAAACGCCACAACAGTCTTGGTGCCCTCAACCATATGAGTCACTGACATGCATATGTATGCAATATGAATGATGAATAAATTCGATAAGTCACCGAGCAACAAAGGAGCACTTGATGAATTACCAAAGAAAATAAGCACGACAGGCTTTTCCTCAAAGATTCAATATACTCAAAATATGATTGCCTTGAAAAGTCAGTTATGAAACTAGTTAGCCATCCTTTTATTCAAAGTGGGTTTCTCACCTTCGTGAGAAAACCATGTTGCCACAATTTCCATGCAGCAACAACTCTAAATCCTATTCAACCTAAAACACCTAAACATGATGCAAAAGGAATCTCTACATAAGACGTCCAACCCAGCAGCTATTCAAAAGCTGTCCAATATGAATATAAGTTCTGACCCAATGAGAATATAACTTCTAATTCAATATGGACTCTTAGTGAAGACACCAAACAGCCACTTTTATATATAAACAATTCTCTCCTAAAACAAGATAATTAGGAGATACACAAGATGCACGTCACTACACCAAATGCTAATAATTCAACTTAAATCACAATGACATTGAAAAGAACTTCAGCCAAAAATCCTATTGTGAATGCATGATTATGTCATGATTTACCTGAAGTCAAGTTTCTCATATTGGTCAAGTCATGCCTCGGAAGTATGGGATTGAATGAGTTGTGCCAAAACATCCAGTAACAATTCCTCACAACCTAATTTGCAACCTATACTAGAGTCTAGGAAATGACAATACAATTTTCATACTAACATTTGGGATACAAAATACTTTTACTGAACTATATGGATTGAGGGGTGTTGAGGCCCAAAAAATCTAAGGTTGGGCCCGAATAAATTCCCGGCCCAGTACGACACCTTATTAAGAAAAGACCTGACTTGGAGCACGCAAAAATTCGTCACACGCGCTTGCACGAGCCACAGTCCACATGCCATGCCAAATAAATAATCCGTCATGCTAAGAATCAAGATGAGCCTATAAAATACACTGGCTCTATGAGCCCATGCTAATTATCCCGTCAAGCATCATGTCTCTTTTCAAAGACGATAAAATTCAAGCACGCCAATCAACATGCCATGCCAAGCGGAAAATCATTATTTCACACATAGCCACGCTTCAAGCTTAAGTGAGCCCAAGCCACGCAAATACCCGGGGCTTGCTGAGAAGGTTGTGGTGTGCATGGTTACGAGCACTCACAATGCCCATTGAGGGTTCAAGGGATGAAAATTTTTGGGGCTGCTTGGGAGCCCTAAAACTCAAGCCCATCTCTTGGGCCCAAGCACATGGGTAAGCATGAGAGAGAGAAAAGTGTTCCAATGCCTTAGGAAAATATCTCATAGTCTGCTGCCACACTTAGACAATCTCACGTTAGTTAAAACACCCAAAATAAAGCAAATAGGCTACTTCCAGCAGCTTGACGAAAACATGCAGGCCGCTGGAAAGAAAGTACCAATAACCTGATACTTGTGAACAAAGCCCAGCCCAGATCCTTGTTAAAAACCTAGCATCGTATTCCACCCTTGTCAAAGCTCTAGAACCAAGTCAAACAGAGGTCATCCCAAAAACCAACGGAAATCCGTAGGACATGAGGAATACCCATTGGATAAACGACTCCATCCATTCTCTTTTTCCTCTGCGAGCTCTAATTTGAAAACCAAGGAAGAAAGTAGGTGGCGCCTCACCCCCATGGGGAGGTCCAACTGCATAGAAAGCCTTGGAACTCCAAAGAGTCTGTGACCCATGCGCTCTGGTTGAAGAAATTTCACCAAAATGGAGTGAATGGAAAGAAGTAAAGGAAAAGTGGGAATGGAGGATCGATAGAATTAGGGTTCTAAGCGCCTATAAAAGGGAGTTTTCTCTACCCAGCAAAACAACCACATTAAGAGAGCAAGCTTCATCTCTCATCCCTGAAACCTCTACAATTCGAGCCCTATTCCTCTATCTCTTCCTATTTTCTCTTCTGGTAAATCATCCAGAGCGCGACCAAGCTTTGTCAAGCGGCTGGGAATTTACTCAAGACACCCTATTCTCTATTTCCATCTCTACTCTGCCTTAATCAAAAATCTCTTCAGATCTCTCTCCCCCTTGCCCTGAATATTTGTTTCCATAAGAAATTCAAGCTTTTGTCTCTCTCTCAAATTGCTAAACTTGTGAAGGCTTAGCTCCCATGCCACAAGCTCCTCAAGCCAAGCCATGCTATCACTAATCTGTCACATTTATTTGGTTCATTGGTGAAGGGAACCAAGGTGTTTTCTAAGGTTTTCACAAACCCTTTCAAAACTCTGTTGGAGCCCGGTCTTCGAATTCAAAAACAGGGGCAACCTTCTCCACTCGTCCTTTACAGCGGCCCAAGCCCCATTCGTTTGGCTGCTGGAAGAAAAAAGACCCCAACAAGGGGAATTGGATTTTAGATTCCTATTGAAGTTGTTTACTAAACCATATGAAATTGGGGTAGGATTGGTCCTAATTACTAAAATGTCCCCGTTGTTGGGTTAAAGTAGATAACAAATTTTAAAATTTTAAAATTGTGTGAGGACATAATAGTTAAAAAAGATGAATTCCTAATAGGTTAGTTATCCAAGAATTAGAAATACCACCTCCCAACCAAGAATTGAATTCCTCCAAAATTAGGAATTCAATTCCTAATTTTGTGTGGGCCCCACTTACTTTTTAATTTCTTAATGTGAAGTAAACACAGGAATCCTCCATAGATGGAATTTAATTCTTGATGAGAATTCCAATTCCTGATTAGTAAACACACCATTAATTTAATCTAAAGTACAGGCAAGAGAAAGTCATCCATCAACAAACTTAGTTGACCACAGCAGACGAACTCTATTAATTCTACAGTGTGGAAGTCATCTGGCTCAGCTGTGAGTTACAACAATATATCATTGAACTTGTGCTTTATCAGAAGTTGAGCCTCTTCAACTAGCCTCTTTACCGCCTCCCCTGCAGGTAAAATTTCCTTGATGAGGCCTACACTTTGGCCAGCGTACATCACCATGCTTTCAATGTCACCAGTTGCAGTCACATTTGGAACAGTACCGGCAAGACGACGAATTTCTATTTCCTGTTGGAGAACATAACCCAAAAATTGTTAATGGTTCATGGCCTACATCTTCAAATAAAGTAGATGCTTTACTTGTCAATTATGACAGGATTTCATTCTCACCCTATCATGTATTGTCGAATGACCAATGATAGGCTGATCCGCTTCATTCTGATGAGGAGGAAGAGATTTCCAATCATTGAAGAACGGTGTATGCAGAACGCGATGCGGCGCTCCAGGCCACCTTGCACGCCCGAATACATCTGTGTACTCAGTTCTGTCAAATTCAACAAGCTTCCTCTTGTATGTGGGATGAGCACGGCTTTCCTGAGTTGCAAGAAACCTGTAATATAATGAGAAAAATCTTATATATCAACCAAAATCAATAAAGATAAAACTTAAGTTTGATCTTAAGTTTGATAGATGAAAAAAAAAAGTTCTCAAACTGTGATAGCAGAATGTTTTTCAAAAGTTGAACTATATAAAGATGGAGTATATGAAACCTAGTGCCTAGGCAGACCCCCTGAGCACCAAGGGCCAGAGCAGCAACATATCCACGGGCATCCACTATACCACCGGCCGCGATAACAGGTATATCTCGATCTCCAACAAGATCAGCTACCTTTGGCAACAATGAAATCAAAGCATCCTGTAATATATTAACAATAGAAACCACATGGATGTCAACACTTATCAGTAAATCCTTAGACAAAAAATCAGGCAACAGATAAGCAAAGAACGAATAAAACACAAAAACACAAATGTGAAGCAGCAGTGCCAATCCATAGAGTGCTTTCTGGGACGAGGTCAAAGGTTTAATTCAAGACATTGACACTCCAAAGAAAAAATTACTATGCATATATAATCTTATCCATCTGAGATATGCAAAAAGGGATATTTGAAACGAAAAGAAACTCATCAAAGAACAGATAGTTTCTTCTCTAGACCCGGGTTCGATTCCCAGCTGGTGCAAATGTTTTCCTTAAAAAAAAAAAATTTAAAAAAGATAGTTTCTTCTCTTCTTTTTTATTTTATTTATAAGTATTAACACAGCGTGATAACAGATAATGAGCTATCTGGTAAGACATTTGATTGATTTAACTCTATCTAGCGCTTTGTTCTTTTGGAGTCATTGTTTCAAAGAAGAGGTAAACCATCCCGAACCGAAATTTACATTCTTTCATACTATTTTTTAATGTTATTTTATATTCCAAGTGAAGGACAGAGCAATCAGATACAACTACCATTAACTCTAGAAGCGAAAATGTTACAATGCTTTTATAAAGGAAAAACACTCATACATTTGGATCCCAGCAAGCACTCTCACCTGACTGATCACATGCCCTCCTGCTTCACGCCCTTGAACAATAATTGCATCTACACCAGCATATATTGCTTTATTCGCTTCCTCCAAGCTACCAACCTGCAATGGAATTATATGGAACTCAGCAGGAAGTCCGGGGAAAAAATAATCAACAAGGCAATGATTATGTTGCATCAAAGTGAAAAGATTGACCAACCATCCATCAAGTTAACCATGCTGCCCTTAATCTAACCTTTGAGAGTGGAAAGCAAACAGAACAATTCTGATAAACCTGATATGAATGGTTGAATGAGGAGAGAAATGAAAGCAAGCAGCTTACTATGTCCTAATTATCATTGACGACAGTATTGTTTAAAGAATACTTACTTGAGGAACAACCTTAACCCCTAACTGATGAGCTTTCAACACAAGCTCCTCTGAACATTCACCCCAGTAAACCTGCAGCACTGCTACCTTTTCATCCAAAATGACTTGTATATTTTTCTCATGCGGAAATGCCAGAACAACACCAACCCCAAACGGTTTGTCAGTTATGCTTCGAGTCTTCCTTATGAGCTCCCGCAGGTAATGTGGTGACTCCTGATCAGTCAAAATTAGTATATCAGAAATTTCTTCTTTAATGGCATATGTTCACAAGTTATCCTGTATTGTTTATATTCACATAAGCTTAACAACGATTTGCTGCTAAAATACTGCAAGGAGACCATAATCAATTCGGAGAACCATTTAGCTGCTTTTTCCCATATCTTTCTTTTTCTTTTCCACTTTGCCTGTTTGTTTCCACCTTTATGGAAGAGATTATAACTATCACGGATGAACTTTCAGATTTCCACATGAAAGGCCATACTCAACCTTGAACCACTGATCTGAATTTTGCAAGAGCTTCCTTGGAAAAGCTAATGATGTGGCATAGAAAAGAAAAGAGGCGAAGCCATGGAAAGTGGCCTCAGGCATAATTACGCCTCCTCACCCTCTCAGGTTTGAGACTAAGTAGGCATGTATTTGTGCATTTGTGATCAGACTTCTGGTGTATATGAATTATGCAGCCAAGAAAAAGCAATCAAGAGCATGAAGACTGAGTGATAATCATTAAGGCTCACGGTCATCTCAATCCTTGGTTTCTTCACTACAAGAGGGAAAGAAAGTTCAAACTGGTTGGAAGAAGACAAATGGCCAATCTAATCCAAAGAATAAAATGAGTAAGACTAGGAAAATGGACTACAAGTCCTAAAAAAGTTCATGAACAAAGGAAAATCTCAAAATTAGAGCAACTGATGTACCAATTTGAGGCAGAGAAGTCTGTATTCAGGGCAATTGACATGGATGCAGAGTAACTCCAATGGCTAGCTGGATGTTATTGCTTGGCACGATCCACATATGCGTCTCGAATCGTTATTGTTAAAGCACATATTAAAGTGTGAACATTCAAATAAAGCCAATGGTTGCAGAGGCCCAAAATTTCATAACTAGCTTAAAGGCAAGGCTTAGTATGAATGATGTAGAAAAATTGAAGGTGCACAACACACAGACTACATGAAAAAAAAAAACCAGGGTTTGTATTTACAAGTTTTGAAATTTGCAAGTAGAAATTTAGCTGATATTGCTGATCAGACCAGACCTGAAGAGGGAAGTCAAATTGTTCTCCAAATCTACCTTTAAGCTTTGAGAGTAGGAATTGAAGTTCAGAAACCAAGGGCTTCATTCATCCTTAGCTAGTTTAATCATATTCTTTTCCAATTAGATAAAACTACTATCAAGAACAATATTGGAATTCTGATATGGGAAATTAAGATTATAAAGGAAAGAAATGGAAATAAAAGAAAAGTGAAAGGAAAGAAGCATACCCAATCAGGGGCTCTGAGGAAACCAAGTCCCCCAGCATTAGCAACAGCAGCAACAAGCTCGGGTCCAGAAATATCAGGTCCCAATGGTGCTTGAACAATTCCATACTCAAAACCCAATATCCCACCCCAACCCATCTCTCTCTCTCTCTCTCTCTCTCTGTGTATATATATATATATATATATGTATTTGTATTGCTCAGTGGGCAGTGGGCAGTAAGATGGCTGCTGCTGAGTGATGAAGCGTGAACGTGGACAGTGTTCTTTAAGTTTATGCAGGAGACCTGTGGTTTCTACACGTAAGGGAGGACGTCAACTTCTGGATTTTCTTTCCTATTTCTTTGACAACAATAATAATTTTATGCTGATCAACTCCAATCGCAATTCTCCAGTGTTAGAAGAGTAATCAAATTTGATTTTTTCTGCTTTTTCAAGCTCAAGTAGCCCTCAATTTGATTTGATTCCCCCTACTGGAATGTCGCTTGTATAAAAAACAAAATTAATATTAAATAAATAAAAATAGAAAAATCATTTGTAAGACAGTTTGGGTTGTAGCCCGGTGGCTTCTCATCCGAATTATCCGCGTACAGGTACCGTATCGACGGTTTGGTTTGGTTTGATTAAATAATTTTTTTTTAATTTTAATTATTCCGATCCGATCCATACCGAAATGTTTGGTTTGGTTAACGAAAACAAAATTCCTAACCCGTCGGAAACCTGTACCGATCTTATATTTATACTTATTTTATTATTTAAATACAAAACAAGAAACCAAAGGTAAATACAATCAGCATTTTGTATCACTTTTTTATCACTATAGTATCACTTCTTTATCACCATTGTATCACTACTTTATCACCATTATATCACTGCTTTATCACTATTGTATCACTTATCCAGGTACGGTAGCACTTTTTGGTCAGAGAGGAATTTATGAACTTCTTATGTTTTCCAGTTTCGACATTTGTCCCGTTTTTTACCTGTAACTTTCCAACTATTGATCCAAATTTTATGTTCTTTATATGGTTGGATTCAACATGAAAAAATAAAGAACCCAGTGCAGAACAAATGTCAAAATCATTTACATAAATGTAGAGAATTCAATAAAAAGAACACTCAAAAGTTCAAACAACAAACACAAGTGGCTCCCAATACATCTTGAGTACATATTGAATGATATAGTGACTAAGTTGTTTGATTTCATACTTGGATGAATTAGGTTATTAGACTTTTATATTTCAAAAGGATAATTTGGTGTATTTGTTTAAGAACTTATGTTATGTGAAAGTATTATAAATTGTATTTTTATTAGTATGTTTTTATTACGGTACTACCGGCATACCGGCCAATCCGAAATGAATATTAGGTTAACCGATCCGAAGTCTACCGAAGTCTTTGGTTTGGTTAACGGAAGAGCCTCCTACCGTTTCGAACCAATCCGCGTCCAGGCCTAGTAGCCCATCTCACCCCCTCCATGTAGGCTCCAGTCCACCCCATTACTGTCTCTATTACTACTTTCATACAATTTTCTTTGGGTTTTCGACCGAAATGAATATTGTGCACTAGTTATATTTTCGTTATCTAACTAAATTATTCATTCCAATCGTCCTTCAGCTTTCTATTTCATGGTAAACTAGTCTCACATACTTTTCCATCAGTTTGAATCACATAGATGGCACATACTATAATTTTTAGGGGTGAATCGGATTTTTAACACCACAAAAACAAAACAAAAAAGGTTTTAGATCAAAATAGTGCCTGAATTTATGCCTAAGTTACTCAAACTAAACACATGATTGAATAATTGTGATTGATATTACATTTCTCCAAAAGGAGGATATATATACAAGTAAAAGTTGACTTTTCCTACAAGGAAAAGTAATTAGCTAATTACAAGGAATCATAACTAGGTAATGATTCTAATTAGGTAACATAAATTACACCAGGAAATCAAGGACCACAGGATCCCTGAATTATGGCTCACGCCAACACTCCCTCTCAAGTTGGTGCGTAGATATCTCCTATGCCCAACATTTTCTTCTGACTTTACAAATGGTATATCGATTAGCTTATCTACCAGCTTCTCCTTGATATAATGCATATCTAGTTCAACATGCTTAGTTTTGTCATGTTGAATTGGATTATTTGCTATCTCTCTCGCAGCTTGGTTGTCATAGTAAAGCTCCATGGCTTTCTTTGGTGGAAAACCAATTTCGGACAGGGGTATCTTTAGCCAAATAAGCTCACAAACTCCTTGTGCTATGCCCCTATATTCTGCCTATGTACATTATTTGAACTGTGAGTTTCTTCGGCCTATGTAATTATTTGAACTGTGAGTTTTCTTTGGTAGAGTGGAAATTGACAATGTGCTATGTGCAGGCTTTGTTGAGATGTACGTCAGTCTGGCAAAGTTAAAGAAGGAGATTGCGAGGATGAAGAAACTAGAGGAAGTCGCCAAAGGAATTTTTTTTGAAGCACAAGTGGCTATCCAAGAGAAGAACATTGCCGTATTGCAAAAAGCGGTCTTGGCAAAGGAAGTTGAAGAGTTAAGGGAGAAGCTAGTGGCATCAGAACAAGCGCATGCCAAAGCAAAGCTAAAGAAGGCCAAGGAGATATTTATTGCAAGTGTCGAGGCGGTCGAGGCATACCGATCGTCAGATGAGCTGAAAGGCTATATCCTAAACAGGCTAGTAGACAAGCAGGTCTTCTGGGAGGAAACTCTGGTGAAGTTCAACCCCATGCTCGATATAAACTTCGACACCACCGGCACGCCTCCACCTCAGTCAATTTTCGTTGCCAGTCCTGCCGATGGGGCCGAGGCTATAGCCGAAACAGTGATGGATGCTCAGGTCGTGGATGCACATGAGACTGCCAGAGCGAACCAGGATGGGTCTACCAAAGCCTGAAGGCTTGGTACTTTTGTGTTTTTGTACGATGGATATTTGTTCAGAACAGTTTTTGGAGTGCCAATGGTACTCATATTTTGTATGGAGATTTTGCCTTGCCATAAGGCAAGGTTATTTTGGTAATTTAACATAGCTTGTCGTATGGTTAACAAATGTCTTGTCTAAAAGATAACCATAAGTGTGTGCCTAAGGCATTTGTGTGATTAGAAATGAGCCAAGGTAAGGCATTTCATTAAGTAAGTGCCGAAAGACACAAGTACAAAAGATAAAGACACAAAATGTTGAAGATCATAAGGAAAAGAAACTGAAATGCCAAAGGTAAGTTCGTTGGCCTGTTTATTCATAATAGTACTTGAGGTATTAGTGTTCCATGGGTGAGGCATGGGCTTGCCATTAGAACCACGAAGGTGATAAGTGTTAGGGTAGTAGACCTTGATGACTTCATAGGGTTCTTCCCAGGTTGGGCCGAGGGTACCCTCAGCAAAGTTCTTGGTTGCTAATGAAACCTTGCGCATGAAACAATCTCCAAGTTTGGAAGCATGAGGTTTCACAAGAGAGTTGTAGTATTTGGCAACACGATATTTATAAGTGAAGTTGCACGTTTTGGCCTAGTCATGAAGCTAGTCAATGAGGTACAGGTTTAGAGCCAACTGCTCGTCGTTTGCTTTGGCATCATATATTGACATTCGATATGAAGGTTGATCGATCTCTACTAATACAACAACCTCGGTGCTGAAGGACAAAGAGAAGGGCATTTCTCCAGTAGAAGTGCAAAAGGTGGTTCGGTACGACCTAAAGACATCCATAAGTAATTCAGGCCAATAACCTTTGGCTTTATCAAGCTTCGTTTTCAGTCTTCTTGATGATATTGTTCATAGCTTCAACCTATTCATTAGATTGAGGATGGGCAGGAAAGGCGAAGCAAATGCGCTCCTTGAGATTGGAACAAAATTGCTTGAATTTAGCATTATCAAATTGTTTACCATTGTTTATGACAATCGCTTGGGGGATATTGAAGCGACAGACGATATTTTACCAAACAAAGTTTTTGATGCGAGCTGCCGTGATGGTAGCTAGGGCTTCAGCTTTAGCCCACTTAGTAAAATAATCCATATTGATAACAGCATACTTGACCTGGCTCTTTCCCTTTGGCATAGGTCCGATGAGGACAAGTCCCCACTGTGAGAATGGCCATGGAGTGATCATTGGTGTCAATGGTTCGGCAGGGAGCTAAGGGATGGTGGCAAACCTTAGGCATTTATCACATTTCTAGGTGAAGGCTTGGACATCAGTATGGATGGTAGGCCGAAAATATCCCTACCTAGTGACCTTGTGGGCGAGAGAGCGGGCACCAGAATGGTTACCACAGATGCCTTCATGGACCTCCCAAAGGACATAATTGCCTTCTTCTGGTGTAAGACACCAAAGGTAAGGGAGGCTGAAGCCGCGTTTCTATAAGCTGCCATTAATGATCAGTACCGAACGCGACGTGCCTAGGCAGGGTTTGCAAGCAATGTTTGGTTTTGTAGGAAATTAAAGATGGGATCCATCCAAGTGGAGTTGTGGTCAACAGTGCAGATGACAGGCGCTTGGGTGCTGGGTGCTTCTAGGAGTTCAACGTGGATATTACAACCGAGATTGTGATCCACTGCCAAAGCCAACCATGCCAAGGCATCAACATGGTTCGTTTTTAGAGTGTGGGGTCTGGTTGATGCGATAAGCTTTGAAGGTTTTCAGTAACTAGTGGGCATAGTGGAGGTATGTTGTCATGAAGGTGTCTTTGGCAAGCAAGTCATGATTGACTTGATTAACAACCAACTAAGAGCCACTGAATATCTGAATCTATGTAGCTCGCATCTCTTTGGCTAGCCGTAGACCGGTAAATAGTGCTTCATATTTTGCCACATTGTTGGTGGTTTGAAAGTTGAAGCAAATGGCGTACTCAAGAACCACCTTATCTGGAGAAGTGAGGACCAAGCCTGCCTCACAGCCTTGGGAGTTTGAAGATCCATCGACATGAAGGGTCCATAATGGCTCGCTGAGGTCAAAGTTGCCTACAACATCAAGGTGAACGAGATTCGAGGTCAACATAGGTTCGTCAATAATTTGAGAAGAGGCCGTAGGTATGGGTTCGATGAACTCCGAGATGAAATCAGCAACGGCCTGCCCCTTTTCAGATTGTCATGGCTTGAAGTGGATATCAAATTTTCCAAGTTCGATTGCCAACTTAATTAGCCTACAAGATGTCTCAGGCTTCTGCAAGACTTATCTCATAGGCTGATCAATGAGGGTATGAATGGTGTGTGCTTGAAAATATGGTCGAAGTCATTAAGCTAAAACAACCAAGGCGAGGGCAAGTTTCTCAATGTCAGAGTAACTAGCCTCAAAGTCTTGTAATGCTTTACTGACATAGTAAACAGGGTGTTCAACCCCAGCTGGTTGCCGAATCAACACCAAACTAACGGTGGTGGATGATACCGAAAGGTAAATCATA